ACCTCCCATCTCAGCCTCCTGAGCTGTTAGGATTACAGGTGTGTGCCATTGTACCTGGTAGAAGAGAGGGTTTGAGGCAACAGGAAATAGGGTCAGGTTCTAGGAAAGGGGTCTGTCAAGAGCTGTCTAGTGACAGGGAACATGGGTTTTCTCTATGGAGCTGTGGAGCCCACAGACATCATGTATGGAGGAGCTAGAAAAAGGCACAGGGACAGATTTAGAAGACAACTTGCACTTCCTACAACATTACATCTTTTGATTCCACATAAACCTTGTAATACAGGCACTACCCAATTTTACAGATGAAAAAACTGAGGGTGAGTTCTTACTCCCTTGCCCGAAGCCACAGAATAAATAGAAAGTGAAGCAAGGTTTGCCCCCAGGCCCTTTTCAGTCTAGAACTTGAAAGCTTAATTACTGTGTTAAGAGGTCAATGACCACATTCCCAAAAATGTTACTTAGCACTAATCACTATCTGGTAATAATACTTATGTGGCAGTAGAAAAATGGGTGGGAGCTACCAGTTACTTATCCTCAAGTTCAGGCAAAGGCTGGATTAGTGTTTCGTAGAGATTCAAGTGTTTGGTGCAAACAGTTGGATTCAGATCCCAGGGTTCCAGTTGATGGGGTACAAGATTGCCAAGGTCTGTTCCCAGAGATTTGGATGTAGCTGCACTCAGATGGGCACCAGGAATCAGTCTTTTTCAAAAAGCAATTCTGGTCTGCAGCCAAGAGTGGAGTCTCTGGCTTGGATGACCTCTTGGGCTCCACTGAACACAGATTCTGTGATCATTAACGTCCTAACTCCACCACTGGCGAAGCATTTGAGTTAGGTTAATGCCCTCTCCCCCTTATTGCCTGGTTAAATCCCTAATATATTAGAGATAAGGAGTGTACCTGCTCCCTTCCTGTGTTGGAAGATAGGCTCTTCTGGAAGCCAAAGAACGTGGTAAAGATAGAGGGCATAGGAGCTGAACTGCCACACTCAGCGCTGAGGGTAGAGCCAGCTTACCCTCTTCGTGTCCTCTTCCCTTCAGGAAGAGTCCCAGTTCCCAAGACTCAACTGTCCCATGAAATGCTGGTTAAGTACAACTATTCCTACTTTAAGCCCCTGGGTTTTTCTTGGAAAATGCTTACTAGTGCCAGTCTCCCAGACATGCTGGGCAATTCTGCAGTTCATCTGGCCTAGAGGGTCCTCTCCCAGGTTCAGGGAGGCCCGTGTCTCAGGTAGGGAAGCAGGAGGGAGAGGCGCTTTCAGTGACCTTTGGTTCACTGGGAAGGCTCAAATCCAGTAAAACTTTAGCAAGTACTATTTAATCGATGCCAGATTTTAAAACTGTTAAAACACAACAGTTACTAATAGGGCATTAT